GTTAGAGTCCGTAAATGTATCTTCAACCAAAATTTTAAAGGCAACCGGACGTTTCAAAACCGACTCGGTTTCTTCTGCAGGGGTGACTGAAGGCTCGTGGACACAGCAGCAGCTCCTAACCTCTTCGTTTTCAAAAAAAGAAAAGAAAGTGAAAATGAAATAAAATTGAAAAAGAAAAGAAATTAGGAAATTGAAAAATTGTAAAATAACTTTTTTAGTTATGAAGATAGTCGTCTTTTCAGCTTTTCCGTTACGTCACGGAGGCCATGCGCGTACACAGAGGGCAAAGCGCCCAGCGACCTGTTTCGGTTTCCTTACGTTTTGCTGGATTTCCCACGATTTCAAGAAAAGTCTTCTTCGAAAATTGGGCTCTTTGTCCACCACGTGCGCGTTCGCGAAGTCAATACGATGGTCTAGGTTATCGCAATATCCGGCGATGGCGCTGCGCTCACTGTCAAACTTCCGCACGTCGTTCTTGTTTTGGCGGATACGCTCGGGAAAGTTCTTCGTCTCGCCGATGTAGGTTACGGGGCACTCTGCTCAAGGAATGGTGTAAACCACGCCCTGTGCTTTTTCTTTTGGTAAACGATCTTTCGGTCTTGGCAATAGGCCATGGATTCAATATGACCACGCAACGGCCGCCTCTTCCAAAAATGGTCGCGACTGTGGAGGACGGAATTATGCGCTTAGACCCTAGCAACCGGGATGGAGTGCGGCTTAAAGCGGTGGGTATCCTTTCGAATCTCTCACAACGGCAACGACACGACCTGCCGGTGGAAAAAGTTACAGCGCTTCGCAAACTTCGCGAAGATACGGAGATTATGCTTCTGCCGGCCGACAAAGAGAAGTCGACCGTCGTCCTGGACCGGGAGGTATACAAGGAAAAGGTACGGGGTCTTCTTGGCAGCCATTCCTATGAAAAGCTCAAGAAAGATCTTACGCCACAGGTTCAGAGGAACTTAAACAAAATCTTGGCAGAGATTTTCAAGAAATACCCTGAGTTAAAGAGCCTTTACTTGCGACGTATTTGCAGGAATGGCTGCGCTCCAGGATTTTATGTCCCTCCAAAGATCCACAAACCTAATGTGCCTCTACGACCTATTGTGGACTTTACAAATATCTTCACCGGACATTGGCTCCCCTCGTCGCAAACGCGTCGACCCATGTAGAAAATGTTGGCCACCTCGTGGAACGCGCCTCGTGAATACATCTCAGCGACGGTGACACCATGGTGTCTTTCGACGTGGTGCCCCTCTTCGCAAGTGTCCCAGTTGCCCTTGCAGTTCTTGCAGACCGCGAGGCCCTCGAAAAAGACAGCTCCTCGACCACAAGAACGAACCTCACTGTGACGGAACTCTTCCGTCCGCTAGAGTTTTGTCTCGGCAGCACATACTTCACCTTCAAAGAGGAGCTTTTCAAAAACGTCAGTGGCACTGCAATGGGTGCCGCCATCTCGGTCTCAACGGCGAAACTCACGATGAAAACAATCGAGCAAAAAGCGCTGAGGTCTTTCCCCAACAGCCCTGAAGTATTCATGCGCTATGTGGATGATTGCTTCTGCATTCTCAAGAAACTGGACGTGACAAATTTTTTGGCACACCCCAACTCTATCGAGCCGGCCATTCAATTTACCGTGGAATGTGAGACGGATGGCATCCTGCCGTTCCTTGATGTGCTGGTGAACCGACGAGGACAAGATATGATGTTTGTGGTGTGCCGAAAACCATCACAACCGGATGCTACCTCGATTTTGACTCCAACCATCCAACGAGTCATAAGGTCTCAGTGGTTTCGACCCTCCTGCGTAGGGCAACCACTATCTGCTCGTCGGAGACCGGTAAAAAGAAGAAGACCATAATTAAAGACCTAAAGAAAAATGGCGACTTTAGTAGCTTTATTGAGCGCATCGCCCGACGCCAAGGTCTCTCCTGACAAAACCAGATGCCAGTAGAAAAAAGACAGCTCAATCGAGTCGCGCGCATCAGCGTTCCTATACATAAAGGGAACCAGCGAAGATCTCGCACGAGTACTGGGAATGGAAGGTATTCTGGTGTCCCACAAGCCCACGTCTACATTGGGAAACCGAAAGATCGTCTACCAAAAGAAAAAGCACAGGGCGTGGTTTACACCATTCCTTTCGCAGAGTGCCCCGCAACATACATCGGCGAGACGAAGAACTTTCCCGAGCGTATCCGCCAACACAAGAACGACGTGCGGAAGTTTGACAGTGAGCGCAGCTCCATCGCCGCACATTGCGATACCCTAGACCATCGCATTGACTTCGCGAACGCGCACGTGGTGGACACAGAGCCCATCGCATTGACTTCGCGAATTTTCGAAGAAAATTTTCTTGGAATCGTGGCAAATCGAGCACACACCAGGAAACCTAAACAGGTCGCTGGGCGCTTTGCCCTCTGTGTACGCGCATGGCCTCCGTGACCTGACGGAAAAGCTGAACAGACGACCATCTCCATAACTAAAAAAGTTATTTTACAATTTTTCAATTTTCTAATTTCACCTTTTTTAATTTCTTTTCTCTTTCTTTCTTTTCTTTTTTGAAGACGAAAAGGTTAGGAGCAGCTGCTGTGTCCGCGTGCCTTCAGTCACCCCTGAAGAAGAAACAAAGTTGGTTTCGAAACGTCGGGTTGCCTTTCAAATTTTGGTTGGAGATACATTTCCGGACTTTAACTCTCATCCAACCAGGCAGATTTCTGCCGAATATCTTTACTTTTAATAATTTAACGTGCGTGTTGCTCCTACTTCGGTGTCGACTGTTGCTGTTTGTTGCTCCTATAGGACTCGAAAATTAGTAATCTTGCATATATATTATATATTAGTATATATATATATATTAGTAATCTTGCATATATATATATATATATATATATGCAAAAAATCGTGATGTTGTTAAATGTCTTATTGTTAGTTGATAGTGCTGTAAGAGAAAAACTTGATACATATTCTAGAGAATGCCCAGTAGAATGATGTTTCGTTTCCAGTTTATCTTTTATAGGCAAATATGTAATCTCTCAACTTCTTTAGAATAAAATGTAATGCATTTCCTAAGAACGCTTTCCGCAGGGCAACTCCGCGTAACCTGCTCTTAATCTACGGCCGATTCGAAGCGCGGTAGTCTTCTAGACAAGCAAGGTGTCATTTTCTGTGCTTGGTTGGAGAGCTGAGATTTCCTTGTGGGGTGTTTGAAAAAATAGTACAATTTAACATAAATACAGAAACAATCACGTTATTGTAGAGAGAAATAAAGCCGCTCAAAATTAGAAATCGTTTACGAATTGTAAAGAAAGAAAGGAGAACAATAAGGAAGGGTTTTTGTCCTTGAAAAACGCAGGGCGTGACTTACTACGTTTATGCTTAGTTATTCGTGATATATTCATTGGCGTTCTCATTGGCTAATAGAGAGTTTTAGGGAACTACGGTAGAATGAACCCTCCGCTACAAAACTGCGCAAACACTACCCCAGATGATTCGCACATGCGCAGTGTGTTCCGGAGGGCCCATTGTACTGTACCAAATGTTAAAAAAAAAAAAAAAAAAAAACGGTTTTTTAAAACTTTCAAATGATTCAGTCTCTTCAGCGTCGGAGCGAACATGATACCTGGGTCAGACGGGCACGTTAAAGACCTTCAAAACGAACTCCTTTAAAGGGTCGGCGAACCATCGCACGCCGATAAGCGTAAGATCGCGAGCTATTTCAGAGATTCTTTAAAGGAGCGCTCGCTCTGAAGGCGTTTAAATCTGCACGTCTGACTCAGGTATAACTCGCCATGCCTTCAGTTTCTTAAGTTGTCAGCGACAAGAGTTCCAGGTGGTACTTTTTAATGTTTTTTTTTTCTTTTTCTCTACCGGAATCTATAATGCCTTCGTGTTTTACTATTGCCATATACAATTCAAGACATACGGCTTTTTGTAGGTTTCTCCCATCACCTGAGTTGCTATTGTCCCTAGCAACTTAAAAGCCCAGCGTGTGGGGAGTCTCGAGTAAATGAGTATCACTCCAAAACCAAAGAATGGCATTGCGGCATTGGTCAATAAGACGCCAAAAAAACAAATTACAAACGAAAAAAAAAAAAAAAAACGCGTGAAAAGAATTAGACACATTCGGCGTTTCTTAATGTCTGAATGAGTATAGTCAAAACAAAAACCGAAACGCAGCTATAATTTAAAAGTTGCTTCAGATATCGCGTAAACAATATTTTTTTTTTTTTGGTTACCTAGTTCTGGTGTGCCAGCAAACGCAATACTATACTATTAGGAAACAAAAAGCAATCCTTGATTGTTTTAGACCTTGAAAAACAGAAACGGAGTATATTACATTTCACAAACTGTCCCTGTGAAGGCGCATACTCAATGTAAAGTCACTGACAGCCTAAGAAAAAACAAAAACGCATGGATTACATTCAATCTTTTCACTTCCTCGATTCGATCTTCGACGTTCTCATGCTGCAATCTCGTTGGCTCTGGAGAAAAAAAAAAAAGTACGGTGGCTTAGCTCGGCTATGCCAGGATATACGTATATACGTAGCGTGAGCTTATACGCACAAAATGAGAGGCGCTATCAAGCGGCTCCGGTGCAGCGTCAGACTTAGCTACTGCGCAACGGAGTTGCACAGCTGGGCACGCGGCGGCGCCAGTGCGTCTGCCGCGGCTATGACGTCACTCCTCTGGAATGCGCAGACCGGCGAGGCGGACGCGGCGGCGGCTCCGGCGCGCCAGCTGTGCGCCGCGTGACGTCACTGCTGCTCGCGCATGCGCAGCACGGAGACCGGCTCATTATGCGAGCCACGCGAAACTGCTCAACCTCGGCCAGCGTAGCTCACGCTACAAGAATAAAATGCACGGGACTCGACACGGTACCCTGCCTTTCCTAAGTTATTTGTGATTATGTGTGACCATAGAGCGACTAAATCTAAAAACAAAAGAATGATACAAGTGCTTAGAAAGTTTCGCGCCAAATTTGTTGGAAATATTTTCGTGTCTAGGTTCTGCTGTTGGCCGCAGTGCTAGTCGTCGCCATGTGCATCACCTCGACAGAAGGACAGCCACGACCCCCCGGACGTAACCCCGGACGTAACTTCAAACGTGGCGGCGCTGGTGGCCGTGCGAGCACTCGCACTCACAGTCCCTACAAATATGGAGATCTTGGAGATGTTACTGGTTCCTTGTAGGGAACTGGCATCATGTGCATCCTGAAGAATCGGTACTTTTTCAGTGGCAGCGTATAAAGTGCTCAAAGGGTTTTTTAATGTTTTTGAAACTTGCCGGATGTGGACACTTGTTTTTGGCCCCAAACCTCCGTTTTCTGCTGCATTCTTGAAAGCGCCAGAACAAGAAGTACAGAAATAAAACTATGGGAAACGTTGCTTTATTTTGTGCTTTTTTGGATGTAGCGACACATATTCCAGGCATGAAAAGGGTGATTCAAATAACAAAGAACAAGCAGGCCAGCTAATGAACTTCCAACAGCTTGAGCACCCGAGACTTATGGGAGCAAGAAAGTGGACCACACATTTACATGCACGAGTGTGTTATCTACGTTTTGTTCGTTATCCTTATCATATCACGTTCCTGTTCCTTATCATAGAGCCCCTACCTAAGGTTCCTGGATGTAATTTTCACACAATTGTTCTGGCACAGCGTATCTGCATGCTTTACTCAGGTAGCACGTAAAAAAGCAAGAAAATTACTTTGCGTCTTAGAAAAGATGAATTTTTTATAGTCACAAAAGACTGTTGCCTTGAAATAAAGCAAGCCATATGGTTCGTACAGATTCTCTTTCCCCTACATTTTTCAGCTGTGGTTGGACGGCAGTCAATAGTAGAGGTGTCTGAATAGTTCTTAAATAAAATAGCGCTGCGTCATTTCTACCTTCAACTCTGCAGAGGGAGTCGGTATGTCTTACCTCTCACTTGCATTAAGACGGACACGAATTAAGCAGTGTTATGAAATTTGAACTGCTATGTGCACAACTCTAGCCGGTAGTATCTGGGACACCAAAAGCCAGACATCCATTGGCAACGTGAAACATCTTTTCAGAAAAAGAGACGACATCGTTTTATTTTTTTGCTGAGAAGTGTTGTTTAGTGAAAAAAATTAGTCAAAGTTATTTTTGTATATTACTAGGCTTACGTGGTCGCCGGCTCATAAAGAAATTTGGTTTTTGTTTTGTACTTTTTTGATCGAGGAACCGTCATGTGTTCCAAATTTCGCATTTTATTACCATCTCTAGCGGCACATCCTCATGGAGTCTCAACTTTCTGAAATGCATAGCTGATTTTTGCCAGCCAAAAAGCAGGCGTTCATCGCCTCGATCAAACTCTTTAATAAACGGCACATCATTATTTTTTTCCTATTACGGGTGCTTCTCCGCGTTAGTTTAAAGTGGTTAAACTCACAAGTAATTTATCTTGTCTGTTACGTATAGCTGGGGCAGAAATTACGTAAGCAACAAGAGTTTTACCTTTGCACCTTATAATAAGCGTGATTTTAGACCATCAAGAAAGTCCGCGCGCACTTATTCTGTTTATCGTTATTGACGTTACCTCTTGATGCTCTCAAATTTATCAAGTATAACGATGGATATGGAGAAGGTTGAACACGGGGGGGGGGGGGGGGGGGGGGTTGGTAATGCCCTGTACTCTTTGATGTTATACTTGGTCTCATCGTACGATGGACTAAAGGCCAAAGGCACGGTCCGCCATGTCCAATCGCGTTCCCCTCTAAACGATGACATCATAACAATGATTTTGGGTGGACGAATAATGTCCGAATCACAGATTTCTGCATCATTTCTACAGCTTCGACACAGCAAACGGCCCGTATTTCGTGGCTTTCTTTGCAATGTAAAATTCATAAGTCAATCAGTGCTATTCGATTCGAACCACTGTTCGCTCATCCCTGTTAGTGATAGGAGACGCGGGGCCAATACGTGCATAGAAGCTAAGTACCACGCAATTTCTGAGTTGCTCGAGATTGGATCTGGCTGTTCGTAGCTGTTGCCTTTAGTCCATAGTAAGGTGAGACGAAGAATAGTGGGGTCCTAAAAAAAAAAATTAAAGCGACAAGCAGCGTGCTCTTACTGTCTCCTCCCTGGGCGGCTTTCCCTTGACACTCTTGCATTCATATCCGTAGTTGGGAGGTGCAGGGACCTTGAAGGAAGGGAGCAGTGTCCGTAGAGGCACCTCTGCATATAACCCAACAAAAAGCACGCCAAGGCATAGCATCCTCGCCATCCGGACCCCTCTCATCACGGCGACCGTGGCTGCCTCGAAGGTGGTGTTTCTACGCGGCCAGGATAACTTAAGTGTCCTACCTCATTGGAATTGATTGCCGCGAAGGTCGAGTTAGAGATGCATTGAGGGCGGACGCGGGGTTGTTGAGAGAATTTTGAGCGTTGACATGAGGTAGTCCCAATGACAAGCAGCAATAACCGACACCAACACGCCTCTATCAGGTGCAGCCTAGACGCTAAAATACGTCTTTGGAAGGCTTGCACTCTCTTGACGCTCGTGAAGTAAGCACGAGAGGCTGGAAACCTGCGAATATACTAGAGAGTTTTGTAATAGACTGATCCAGGGGTTTGGGTCACCCAAGTAGCTTGGTACATCGTACTCCGCATGCGTAGAGGTTTTGCTTATGCTCAGTGCGAGACCCCAGGTTGCTCAGGAGCTCCTAAACGTCGAGGTCCCGTATTAAGAAACTCCCTACCTTCATGTGCATGCTGATCATACTCGAGGCTTGTGTGTTTTGCATGTTGCTGTTTATCGCTTCTCTGGGACTCAGGCATTAGCCGTGTTGCACGAAGCTAGTATTTCTTTGGAAAGTAAAATAGTAATAATAGAGTAAACTTCTTTTTTTTAATTAATTTGGAGTAGTTAAAGCAAACTTTGGCACATACTCCAGGGTATTCCCATTAAAACATCGTTCCGTCTCAAGTTGGTTATTTATGAGCAACTGTTTCATCTACCGACGCGATTCATATGTGCTTACAAAAGATTAAGCATTTGAAAACACTTTTTCTGCAGAGCACCTCAGCGTAACTTATAGCGCTCTTGCGTTACGATATGTTCCGAGAATGACAGTATTCTTGACAGGCAAGGTACTAGTTGCTGTGCTTAGCTTGAGCGTTTTTGGGAGCTTCCTTAGCGCGGTATTCGAAAAACAGAAAAAAATATAACGCGAATGCAAACATCAATTACGCTCTTGTAGAAATAAATAAAGCAAGATTTAATTCGAATTTGTTCAAAAATTGAAAAGGCTGTAGAAGAGGCTTCAGACGTTTTGAGGCGCAGGGTGTGAAAATTACGTTCGAGCTTCCTGCCTCGTCATCAGCTCTTTGTTCACCCCCTTGTGATATTCAAGTAGAGTGCTTCAACCATTTCGAGGCTGAAGCACTCTTGATATGACCTTTAAAGATCTAACCTTTTCGGGGACGGAGCGAGAGTAAGTGTCTTGAAACTCGCCATTAGTTCCCTTCATTAAGCTTTCAGGTACAAAAGTTCCAGGAGTTCTTTTTTAATGCGAAAACATCAACGTGGAGTGAAGCTGGCGTTGTCTTCCGCCGTTTTCTGTGGCAGCGAAAAACGGCAACTAAATTTCCGTTGGCTGAGCGGAGCGACACCGAACCACAGCAACGCAGATACTTCGTGACAGAAGCCGACGGAGCGCTTAAGGTCAAAGCGGACTCGCCTCAGGACTAAAACACAAAGAAGTGAACAGTAATGCAAGTGCATCGTCACCGAAGCCGAGGAGCGGGCGGGGTTCGTCACGCGTGCGCAGTGGGGTAAGCGTGATGTCACTGCCGTAGCGCCGTGTGAAAAATTAAGACGTGGCGCGATGCTTGTAGGAGTGCGCTTCGTGTATAAATGCTTTCGTATTCCTACACGTAAGCAGTCTTAAGTGTCTCTGCCGATTTTTTTTTGTTTTTACCAACATGTATATGTAGCCTTTGTTTTTGTTTTTAACATATACAATCCATGACATATTTATAGTTCTATGCCGTTACTTGAAGTTGCTATTCTCACTGAAAGCCCAAGACATTCGGGCGTGGAGTATCCCTCCGCCAACAATGACACTGTGGTATCGCCGAAGACAAGAAACAAATCAAGTGGCAAGAAGCGCGACCATGAGAAGTTACACCCCACGTTTCTTAGTCTCGGAATGCATATAGTGAAAAAGAAAGCTGAAAGGTTCTTATAAAACAAATTTTCTTATCATCTCGTGTTAAAGAAAAAGCTTTAACGTTGATTACGTTTTGGTATGCTCAAAAACGATGGACCACCATCAGACAATAAAAATATCGTTAGTTGTATCTTTAGAACTTTAAAAAAAAATATATTACATGTCATTGATGGTTCCCCAAAAAAGCATTATACATGATACTTGATACCTAAGTCAGTGATTTGAAAACCATAAACTCGTAAAAAAAAAAGGGACAGACGACGTCTGTTTTTTTTTTTTTTTTTGTACGTTGACTCAAAAACCCATAAAAACCTTACCTTGACCACTCCAACTGTTTCGTGGGCGCAGTGCCGGCACAATGAATGCACAACTTTGTCAAAGCATTACCTATAACTAAATGGTAATGCTTAAAAAAAAAAAAGAATAAGGGACGTTAGGACAACTATTTTTACGAGTTTTGAACGGCTACTGTGCCTAAATAAAACCCCTTTTGTTCGTTTTTTTCATACGAACAGCACAAACCTTTACCGTTTAAGCAATGTAGATCTAAAAATTGCAACTTCTTCACAACCGTGGAACCAGACATCGGTTCTAGCTCCGGTTTTAGTTCGAAAATATAATTCGAAGCGTTACTCGCAAGCAACCCATATGTGGCACATATCAATAGGTCAACAAATGCACGAAGGGACAAGTTTTCTACCTCCGAAAATTCTACAAAAGATGCGGATGCCTCTTGCTGTCCAGCAAGTTGGGTAAAACTCAGACAGCCTGCTAGGTTTTACCAGGGCTGACCTTAATAACAGTTCAAAAGCAGTATCAACAAATAGACCAAAAAGGCCCACGTTAGCGTAAAAAAACACCAGATTAGGCTCGAGAATGTCTGGCATTTTACTTAACAATATTCTCTCCAAGGAATAATAGAAATCTTATAAATCTAAGGACAACAAAATACGGACCTTTTGGTGAACAGGAAACAGGCTGTCAAGTGATTTTCTTTGCTTCGTGTCTCAAGGTTCCGCTAATGATGTTTTTTAACAAGCTCGCCCGCACACTTTTGCTTCTAGTAATTTATCTTGTCTTTTGCGTACAGTTACCACACTTAAAGGTTTGCGTGACCAGATTTACAATGGTAATGGTTGAGGTCGAGCTGAGTTTGAAATTGTGCAAGAAACAAAATGTTTAGGTTTAAAACAAATATCGATCTTTAATATATGGAACCTTCGAGATTTGCACCTCTACTTTTCCTCGTTGTTGTTGTCCAGACGTCCTGGAGACTCTCGCAAATTTATCAGAAAAAAAGAAAAAAACAAATTCCGGAGGAGCGAGGGCATATCGGTAGACAGCGCCAAAAACTTTTTTATTTGAGCGCCCTTGCGAAAGCAAACATCTGCGTGCAGTCACGGGCTCGTTTTTAGGTGGCTATTTATCGACGCATCTGTATTCAAGTGGTGATGAGGTGCCACGACCCTGACGGAGGTAAGCGTGGTGTCCGCAGGGGTACCGCTGTATATAAGCCAACGGAAAGCGGGCCGACTCAGTGTCTTCGCAATCCGTACTCCTATTGACACAACGACGATGGCTGTCTCGAAGATGGTGAGTATCTAGATGGCGAGATCTAGATGCTTGCTCTGATGGTATCTAGATGGCTTGCTCTGATGGCCGGCTTAAGGATGTATCGGGGGCGAACGCAGACCAATTGCGAAATGCTTGTGTGTTGTTATGAACTATTCGCACTAGAGCGACAAACAGCAAGCCCCGAGAGTCACAAGTCTCTTTGAGGTGCAAAACGCACGCGAAAGCATCTTAGGCACACTTACAGTCTCTCGGCCTTCGTGCGGTAAGCACGAGGGATGTCAAGCCTGAAACGATACTTTAACTTGCTTGCTGCGCCTACTTTAGTTTCGACTGTTGCTGTTTGTTGCTTCAATGGGACTCGACAACTAGTGTTCCTGCACAAAATTATGTATGTATATATGTATATAAACATATTTTTCAAATCGTGATGTTGTTAAATATTTTATGGTTATTTGATGGTGTTGTAAGAAAAAACTTGATAGATATTTTAGGGAATGCCCACTAAATGATGTTCCGTTTCCAGTTCTTATACATTTTAGGCAAATATTTAATTTTTCAACTTTGGTTCGCTTGAAAGCTGAGATTTCCTCTTATTGTGTTTCCAAAAATAATAGAATGTAACATAAATGCAGAGACAATTACGTTCCTGTAACAATAAATAAATCTGCTCGAAATTAGAAGTTGTTCACAAATTAAAGAAGAAAAAAAGAGAGAAATAATAAAGGGCGTTTTCGTCCTTAAAAAAAGCGGAGCGTGACTTATTACGCTTACGCTTGGTTATTCGTGATATATTCATTGACGTTCTCATCGGCTAATAGAGAGTTTTAGGGTACCGTTTCTTCACATCCGGTACGGTACGATGAACCCTCCGGTACAAATTGTGCAAGCACGACCGCAGAAGATTCGCACATGCGCAGTTTGTACCGGAGGACCTATCGCACCGTATCAAAAGCAAAAAAAAAAAAAAAAAAAAATCTTTTTTTTAAATTATTTTTAACTGATTCGGCCTCTTTGGGGATGTAGTGACAGTCATACGTGTGTCACACGGGCACGTTAAAGGTCTTTGGAACGAACTCCTTTAAAGGGTCGGCGAACCAGCGTACGCCGATAGGCGCAAGATGGAGAGCTAATTCGCCGATCCTTTAAAGGAGGTCGTTCTAAAGGCCGCTAAATGTGAGCGTCTGACCCAGGTATAACTCGCCATTCAGTTTCTTGAGTTGCCAGCGGCAGGGTTCCAGGTGGTTCTTTATAATGTTTTTTTTTTTTTGTTTACCAGAATCTATGTTGCCTTCGTGTTTTAAATTTGCCTTGTGCAGCTCAAGATATCCGTTTTTTATAGACCGACACGCGGGCTTGACGTCACGGCGCTGCGGCGGCTATGCGATCGCGCCGGAGCCGGGGGGTGTGGGCAAAAGGGCGCACGTTTCGCATGGGTGTCATAGCATTTCAGCATTGCGCGAAGCTGTGTTGCCGTTAACCTCACCGAAATGTACAAGAAAAGTAGCGGAGTTAGCTTCTACAAGTTCCTGGTGGACTCTGAAAGGCATAGAAGGTGGATAATATCCGTGGATCGAAAATTATGGTCGCCTCGCGCGAACAACCGTTTGTGCGGCAAGCACCTTCTTGGAGGCAAGTGCGGCTACCATTTCGATCGCCGCCCCTAGGCTTGCTTATGTGCAGGGAAACCGTCGTCTGATCGAGACCACCCGAATTGTGTTCCCACGGCGTTCGCGCACAAAGCACCGGCCAGGCGCTCGTCGGAGGCTCGCTACGCCAGTGCTACCCAGCAGAAGGGGATCGGCGACAGAACGGTAGTGTTGTAGGCGTTGCCGAAAAAAAGTTACAAAATACGTTACCCGTTACTTGCAAATAAAAGGCGCGCGTTACCGAGCTATGTTGCCTAAAAATAAAAGGAACGCGTTACCCCTACCGATAAAATGTAGCGCACGTTACTTCTGCGTTACTTTTTAAATTATGATTTAACACGTTTTACGGTTTTGACGATACAGGTATGCATAAGCTCATATATCAAGAAATATTATGTTAATGTAGAAACTGAACATAATTGATTTATCTATTTCTACGGTTTCACCTCTCTCTTTTTTTTTTCTCACGAAAAAAACGTAAAGAAAAGCACGACTTGTCGCCTAAAATCACAGAAAAAATTAAAGTGTAATTGAAGTAACGAGTAGCGTAACTACGTTACTTGAAATAGTAACATAAGTACGTTACCCGTTACTGTGTCGAAAAAGTAACGAGTAGGTTACTACGTTACTGAAAAAGTAACGCGTTCCTGGTAACGCCGTCACCTGTAACATGTTACCGCTAAGACTGCTGAACGGACAAAGAGTTACTGCTTGTCATGCCTTGTGGTCATGACAGTAGGAAAAATAGCATACATTGACTTGAAGACGCTATGTGTATTTATTTAATTAATAAATACACTTCCGCAGACCCACAGTCTGCTGGTCCCGCCGACAATGCGGAAACCGACTCGAAGTAATCGTAGGCCTCGAGAGACTTGTACGCCCGCTCCTCGGCCGTGAACTGGCTTGGTGAAAAAACTAAATAAACGACGACGTAAGCCGTCGACTTCAGTGGCAGCAACTTCACGTCGGAAGTTCAGCAGGCCTTGTTTACGGCGTACGGATCCTCGTAGGCAATGCCGTCCACACAGAGTTCGTTTCCATACCGCCGCCATTCAGGCTCGGGTAGCGAGCTTAAATAGTCGGGCATAGCATACGACATACGTTGCCAGAAGCTACGACGCACGAATAAAGCTAGAAGCGTCCCTACAACGTCGACAGCGAGTGCACGCCACACAGCGCAATGGCGAAAACACTGAGACCCGGGTCGCTTTTGCCCACATAGCTACCGCGCATGCGCGACCTTCCGGCCGTGTTGGTAAACAGAGTCGCTCCGCGTGTCGGTCTCTAGCCCTCTCCCGTTACTATTGTCCCTGGCAACTTAAAAAGCCCAGCGCGTGGGGAGTCTTGAGAAAATGAGTATCGCTCCGAAGCTAATGACATTGAGGCATTGGCCAATAAGACTTCAGAGAACAAATGACAAGCAAAAACGCGTGGCAATAAGGATACGCACCCCGCGTTTCTTAATCTCTAAACGAGATTACGAAAAAAAGCAAAAAAAAAAAAAAAACCGAGAGGCAGCTGAAATTTAAAAGTTTCTTCAGATATCTTGTAAACAATATATTTTTCCTGTTACCTAGTTTTGGTGTGCTACCAACGCAATACTATACTATTAGGAAACAAAATACGATCCTTGATTGTTTTAAATTTTCAAAAAAGAAACAGAGTGTCTTAAATTTCGAAAGTGCTCCCCGTGAAAGCGCCTTATTAATTGCAAAATCACTGGCAGTTTTACGAAAGAAAACGCAAAGATTACGTTTACTCGTTCCGCTTCGCGATTCGATCTTCGACGTTCACATGGTGCAATCTCGTTGGCTCTGGAGAAATAATCAAACGCACGGGACTCCACACGACACCCAGCCTTTCCTAAGTTATTTGTAGTTATGTGTGACTATGAAGCGACTAAATCTGAAAGCAAAAGCATTTGGCAAGTGCTTAGAAATGTTCGAGCCAAATTTGGTTTAAATATTTTCGTGTGTAGGTTCTGCTGTTGGCCGTGGTGCTAGTCGTCACCATCTGCATCACCTCGACAGAAGGACAGCCACGACCCTCCGGACGTAACCCCGGACGTAACGCCGCACGTAACCCCAAGCCTTCTGGTGCTGGTGGTCGTCGGCCAAAAGGGTATCGCACTCCCCATCCCATCCAGCCTGGAGATATTCCTATTGGCTGAAGGGAACTGGCATCAAGAGCATCCTGAAGAATTTGTACTTTTTTCGGTCGCGGTGTTCAAAGGGCTCAAAGTGTTTTTTTAATATTTTTGAAACTTGTCGGATATGGACATTTGTTTCTGGCCTCAAACCTGCGTTGCCTGCTGCATTCTTGAAAGCGCCAGAACAAGAAGTACAGAAATAAAATCATGGGGCGTTCCTTTGTTTTGCTCTCTTGGGGATGTAGTTACCTACCTACATTCGAGGCACGAAACGGACGATTTAAATAACGGTGCACAAGCTGGAGAGCTGGTGAACTTCCAACATCTTGAACTCCCAAGACTTATTGGAGCAAGAAAGTGGACAACACATTCACATGTAGGTGAGGGTGTTGTCCACTTTGTTGTTCCTTAACCTTTGGTTTCCAAAATGTTGAAAACTAGATAAGCATTATGATCGTAGTAATCGTAAGAGCGTACTGACTAAAAAAACCCCTACTTCGGGTTCCTGTATGTATTTGTCACACAAGTTTTTTGACTCATGAACTCACTTACAGCTTAACAAGCGCACCATCTTATTAGTTCCTTGCAGTCGATAAGGTGGCAGCATTAGTACATAAGAGCGCCGAAGAACGAATAAGAAAATGAGAGGCGTAACCATAATGAGGAACGCGCTGCAGTTTTTAAGTTGTCGGTGCACATGAAAACAGAAGAAAGGGCCTCAGAAGACAAACTCCGACATGCAATTTTAGCAATTATTTTCTTGAGGATGAAAATTACCTGTAGCCTTATCTAAAGAGAGGAGCACAGACATTTAAAAAAACGTTTTACAGAAGGATGACGAGGAACTCGTAGATAATTTGTATTTTACGTGTTTTCTTTATAAACTTTAGCTTTTTATGAACATCAGAGCCTAACATATTTCAAGTAAGTCTGGTCTTTGACTTCGGCGCATTTTCCAAACTTTATGATATACCGAGTGGCCAAATTAACCACTTTGCTCTAGAAACAAAGCTATAAACCTGCCCATCAAAACAAGGGTGGGTAATGTAAATAATTACAGATATTGAAGATTGTGGCTATTCTGAACGAATCTTGCATACCATTTTAAAAATAACCATCTCTATTATCGACACAAACGGTGGTGTTTTAGATACAGGGGATTATGCCTACATGAGCGCATAATAATATTAACTTTCGTCATCTTGAGTTGGCTAACAATATTGTTCTATGACCTTTGCGACTGATACTCTTACCTATGAGTATCCAGTCGCATAGGTATTATTTTTTTAACTTATCAATACTATTATTCCAATGCATGGAATATAATAGGAGTGGCACAAGAATGAAGCACTATGTATACAAGATGCTTGCAATGTATGTGTAGGCCCCCGCCACCAGAATGCCACGAAAGAAACTCTGGACTACAATTGACAGCAGTGTGTCGGCAAGTATACACATAGCAGTACATGAACAATTACATAAAAGATTATCTTGCAGACAGTAGCAAATATGAAACAAGAGTTTTAACAGTGGAACGCCCTTGACAGTGAGGCGCCGATTGCAAAAAAAAAATCATATTTATACACTTGATAACAGTTGCTCAAGAAACGAGGAAACACACTCACAGTCGACTATATCTCGAGGTAGTTTGCTCCAATTGGACGCAGTACGCGGAAAAAAGGAGTGCTTAAACGCATCTACCCGAGAGTGACATTCAATAATTATTTTCGGGTGTGTGAATCGAGTGTTTGTCCATTGGCAAAAAGCGATATATTTATCCTGAGGTATTCTTATAGCTCCATTCACGATTATATAATGCATTTTTAGCCGGGCTATCTTTCTTCTGGATGACAGCGATGTTAAATCCGTTTGAAGCATTAATTTTGATGGTGAGTTCTTTCTTCCGAATTTGTTGAAGATAAACCTAAGAGCTTTTCTCTGAATCATCTCTAGTTTGTTTACGTTCTTTTGTGTGAAAGGGTCCCAAACGACGCCGGCATATTCAAGAATTGGCCGGATTAAAGTTTTATAAGCAAGCGATTTTGTAGAAGGCGGTGCACCCGGCAAGGTTCGTTTCAGAAACCATAACTTACTGTTGGCTCTCTTTCTGATTTAATCAATGTGAAGGTCCAATTTAAGTTCAGTAGAAAAAATAACGCCAAGATATTTAAAGGTTGTTACCTTGTTTAGTTTGTGACCAGATAACGCATAAGTGAAGTCAAGTGGGAGTTTCCTACGTGAAATATTCATACACACAGATTTGTTTTCATTAAATGTCATATGCCAATCGTTGCACCACTTGAAAATTTTGTTTAGGTTATTGTTTAATGCTATCTGGGCGTGGCGCGATTTTACTTCAGAATATTAGACGAAGTCATCTGCGAACAATGTTATGCGAACATTTATGTAATTAATTATATCACTGATAAATATTAAAAACAACATGGGTGGCAGAACTGTCCCTTGAGGTACCCCTGAGGTTACGGGCGATGTAACTGAAGGTTTATTGTTGTATGTTACGAATTGTTGCCTTCCCTTTAGGTAGTGTTCAAACCATTTTAATAATGAGTCAGATTTAAGAACAACGTTTAATTTAGCGAGAAGTTTGCCCTGGGAAACCTTGTCAAATGCCTTTGCGAAGTCTAGAATTATGATATCAACTTGAGAACGTTTATTTATACACTCATTACATTCATGTGTTGTTTCCAGTAGTTGTGTTTCGGTTGAAAGGCCTGTTCTGAAAACATGTTGTTCTTTTGTTAATAACGAGTGGTTTTTGAGATGATTAGTAATATGTGAGCATATGATATGTTCTAGAATTTTGCAACACTATGACGTTAATGAAATTGGTCTATAGTTCGCAACGTCTGTTTCCTTTTCGGATTTAAAGATAGGAACGATTCTCGAAACCTTTCAATCATCAGGCAGGGCCCGAGCAATAAAGATTGTTGGTAAAAAATGCGAAGGTATTTAGAGATCCACTCCGCGTAGCGTTTTAGGAATGCTGTGGGAATCAAGTCGGGACCGGGACTTCTCTTTTCATCAATGTTTAATAAAAGAGCCAGTATACCTTCTTCAGAAATGTGCAGCTCAGCAATCCTTGGAATATGATCTAAACTTTGGATTGGTGGCAGCGAACGATTATCAGAGGTAAAGACTGATACAAGGTTACTATATAAAGCCTCTGCAATAAGAAACGCTTCTTGCGTGAAATTACCGTGAATTAAAAAGTTATATGATATTTTCCGTTTAGGTTGAAGGTATCTCCAGACTTTTTTCGGCGAGGATGACATACAATTTGGAAGTGTATAGCTGTAGTATGTTGACTTTGCTGAGGACACCATTTCTTTATGGGTTTGATTCAATTTGCAAAGGAGTTGTTTATTTGTCAGGGAAGGGTTCCTCATCTATGTTTTTCCGTAGCCGGGAAATTTGGCGGCCGATATGAATGATCTCACGTGTGATCCAGGTGTTCGTCTTATTTATTTTGTGTGTTTTGTCCGAACATATTTAGCAACGCAATCTTCAATTATTTCTTTAAATTAGTTGCACAAGTCCTTCATGCACACATTCTGAGTTTCTGAAAGCTGCCGAAATGAATCGAGGGAGAGTTCTAGATGATCTAATATAGAAACGTCGTCCGCATTAAGAGAGTCATAAACGGGAACTAATATAATATGGATAGCCTTTTGTACTCTGACCTTGACGGCATTGCTGGAAAAATTCGCATTTTTCTTGCCGCTTCTGTTTTCACGTTTCAGAGCTAAAATGTCCACTAGGAACCAACTACGTAGATACATCAATATATGTTACACAATATTTATGTCATGATCAGAGTGGTCGACTGCCAAGAATTGGAAGTTAACCTGCGCGACGACTTCGAAGGCTGACACCTGTATAACATTGGTTTCAGCAGAGAATAAAAAAAAAAATCCTACCATTAAGCTGGTTGGGAAACACAGAAAATCTATTCGTGAACAAAGCGCCTACCATAACGTACGCCAACACTGGCAAAATTAAAATAAATACTGAATAAATTGCTGAATAACTGACTAAAATGTACAAATTAACTTCATAATTAATAAAAATGAACTCACGGTTCCAGCTAGAAACGTGCTGAGCGTCATTCAAAGCTCCCAAATCAGTCAAATTTAAATACTTAAAACACCTGTGACGCGTGATGTTGCGCGAAAGTCTCCATTCGTACAGCAGGCACAAGACTGGCGTTTCGAAAACGCCGATGATATCATGATCTGCGTTTCCGCATCGCCAGCCTTGTGTCTGCTGCGCCAGTTGAAGCTTTAGTACACCCCATGCTTCACAACAGCTTTAGGGACCTTCAAGCGTACCAAAAACAAAAACTACAGTAGTTGACGCCTTATAAAACACGGGACGCGGCTTACTGTGTTTACGCTTCTTGCCTTGTGATTTGCTCATCGCCGTTCATATAATCTAATGCTGCACTCTCACTGGTTGTGGATTGATGATCAGCTGTTCGGGGCTCGCCCTTGCCCTGCGTTTCTTTAGCTGTCCATGGCAATAGCAGTGAGTTTCGTTTTGCGGCGCGTCGTACGCTTCTCTAGGAAGATACGACAATACTAGGTGCACACCAGGGGTGGGCAGTATCGCGATACAAACGTATCGCGATAGTATTTCAGAAATATATTTCGTATCTGTATTTCTGTATCGCGATACATTTTTTTTATCAGTATCTGTATTCCTGTATCGAAATACATTTTTAATGTTCCTTTGTATCGCGATACAATCAGGGTGAAATGTAGTTCGTTACAGTTTTTGAGAAATACACCCCCGCCCCTCACACCTCCGGAAAAAAAAATATCCGAACTCTTTTTTTTTACTTCTGAAAGCACCAGGGTAAAGGAGATGCTACGGCATTGTTATTAAGATGACCAAGGTTCCTTCCAATACTCCAAACTATTTTTCTATGCTTCTTCTTCTCTCTTCTGAGAAGTGTTGCGTAGTCGGGGACTCGAACCAAGTGGCGTGCCAGGAGTGGAGTCAGAGGATCTTGTGCCGTAGGTCCTTAGGCAAGGGTTTCTTGAGTCATTGTTTGCTGGCATTTAATGCCCGCTGCTAACCATCTCTCTTGCCTTAGCGTCACAGTACACCCAGCCGGCAAAGCTGATTCACAGTACGTTGCAGCACGAGCCTGGTGATGGTTGACTTGAAATAGTGGGATGACTCACGCAGCGAAGTC